CATACGTCCTTCGGCTCGATTGTGTTCTGAACCACGGTTGAAATGTTTCTCGTTTCGTCTCGATCCGTCATATCGTTCAGGTTTTACGATAAAAACCGTAAAATCATGTTTTCTCGAAAGAACTCAAGGAAATTGTATAAAACGTCAATGGTGAAACGAAACACCGAACGTTGCCTAACTATATGATTTACTCGATATTTTTCGTGAAAAATCGTAAAAACGCGTTTTCAATAAAACCTCGAGTAAATCGTTGAAAAAGACAAAGATTAACCGAAACATCGAACATTGCCAAACTTTGCGATTAACTCGAGAAACTTATTTAAAAAAAAATGGCATCGCATCATGAAACGATCTCGTATAAAGTCGTAAAACGGTTTTATCGCATAACGGCTCAAAAAGTCCTAAAACGCGATAAAAACCTATCTCGCGACTTTAACGAAGTCTAGTCCAAATATACGACGACGTTTTAACGATTTACTCGCATAAAGGAGATAAATGTCAAGTTTGAGGATATATAGAAGATTTTTCGCGGGAAAAAAGGAAAGATAAAGATAAATGGAAGATTCTCAATAAACACGAATCTGGGCGAAATGGAAGGATTAAACCAACTAGGAAGAGAGTATATAAGCAAGAGGCAGAGGACAGAAGAAGGGGACGAATTTCAAAGCTCTCATCTGAGACTTTTACAACTTTTCTAGACTTAGAGTTTTCCGCACTTAGAAACCTAGGCTTTATTCTCGACTAGTTCGGTTTCTATGACTGGTACTCAATTACTATACGAACTCGCCTAGGCAGTTCGATCTCTCGTCCAGCTCTATCAACTAAACTATGTTTGACTTGATCCTCAAAAGGGGTACATAGGCAGCATTTCATAAGGTTTAGTCCGAAATCGATTGAACTCTCTTTTCTTATCTTTTTCGTCTTTTGTTATCGAGCTGCGACTCGACTAGGTTTAGGGTTTTATGTTGATAACTCGCTGACGGCCCCTGCGGCCAAAGCCTTTGTAATATCTTGTAAAGATCGTAACTCTCTTACGCGAATTCGAAATAAGATCGACTTTCTTTATAAATTCATTTTATCATGTTTTTCGTATTTTCCGCATTTATTTGGTTACTTGTTGTTGGCTTTCTTAGAGATCCGGGTCCTCTGGAAAATTAGGATTTTTTAAGTTTACTTATTTTACAGAAATCGACAGTGTGAATTTCGGTTCCCACAATTATTTCCCTCGGTGATACATTCACTGAGTCCCTTTGATTTCAGGATGATCTTAGCATCCAATGCTCATTGTAAATAATTATCTCCTGAGAGATTTAGGACAGAAAAATCCAAGTTGTTGATTTTCGACATCTGAAATCATTTATCTCATACTTTAGATCAAGCCATACAGTTATTATGCAAAACATATCTCACGGCCAAAACAATTGCTATATGTTCATGCGGATGTGATGCAATCAATTCAATAATGGTTGTGATGCAAATAGTTCATTCGACCAAACAAGATATGTATGAGTAAGCTTATCATACTAAGTCTATATGTATCATGCAAACCGTAAACAAAAGCAATCAAACAAGTACAGATCATAATGCAAATTAGGGTTTTAACATATTCTGGTCGAGTTTTAATTAAGGCTAAAATCGTGTCAGGACAATTAACCTAACATGCGGTTTCTATTTCAAAATATCCGGATCAACCAAAAATATCAATTTGATTTTCAAGCATGAATTTAGCAATCATAGCATCCCGGTTCTATGTGATCAAACAATTTAAAAGAATCTAACCAATAACCTAGCTTAGAGTTTCTTGATTCCAATATTAGGGTTTTGATTTTAATCATTAGGGTTCTAATTTTAAATCATAGGATTTTAGAATTTACCTTAACCTTTAATCAGAATGAATGGACCACCAATATAAGGAGATCACGAACCGGAGCTTGCTGAGATCAGGTCGCGAACGAGAATCGGGATCGTTGGTCGAGCTTAGATCGTTGGTCAAGTAAGAATGACATTGTCGATTGAAACTGACTGAGATTTGATCTTTTGAACAAGGATGAGATCGTCGAACAAGGATCAAGGGTTCACGCCGGGATTAGGGTTTTTAGCCGTCGATGGTTCTTGCTGTCAAAGATTCTCGCCGGGATATCTAGGGTTTTTTGGTCGGGATTTTTAGCTTAGGGTTTTAGAGTTTCGTGCTGATAACGTGTTGTGAATCAAAGAATACAAGGGGAATTCAAGATATTTTATTGCATAAACATAAGGTGCCTTTAAATAGGGAGTTACAAGTTCCTAAAAAAGAAAAAAAAAACTAAAGCAACTAGGAAAAGAAAATAATACAAACCTAATACAACATGGAAAAGGAAAATCACCAAATCCTAATCTAACAAGGATTAGGAAAACTACTAGCCGACATAGAACTTTAAGGGGCCGGTCTGGTACGGTTCCGGTTCTAGTTCTGGTTCTAGTTCCGGTTCTGGTTCTGGTTCCGGTTCCGATCCTGGTTCCGGTTCAGGTTCCGGTTATGGCAATCCACAATATGATTTATAACAATTGGATTATATTTATGGAATTTTCCCTCAAACTTTAATGATTTGTCATGTTCTCAATAATTTACGTATTTTTCCTTATTTATTATGTTTTATTAGTTTTTAACTGAGTCATTAGTTTATTATTTTAAATAATATAAGTATTTCAATCTTTGTAGTTATAATTATAATTATTCTGACTTTGATGAGTTACGACTAATTTTTAATGTCAAGTGATGAAAAAAGTTTTAATTAGTGGAAATTCTATCATATGAGCATAAGATCATGTTAAAACAAGAGAGATACGCGAATAAGATTTTAAGTGATCAAGATGGAGGACCACAACACCATCCATGCTCTCATGGATCCAGGTTTGAAACTTTCGAAAGGAGAAGAAGAAAAGGATACAAACGAGAGGGATTATAAAAGAAATTGGTTGCCTTAGATCTTCTTCACACGCAATCGAACCTTATTGTGTTTGAGTTCTAAGTCGATATATGCACCCGCCTAAGGAATCACATGGCTTGGCTCTGAAGCAAATCCTTCGCTACTTTCAAGAACTTTGTCATCCGGACTCACTTTCAAACGAGCAGAGAAGACTCAGCTAATCAAACTTATAGGATACAGTGATAGTTTGCTTGTTGTAGATGAAGATGATGGTCGTAGCACTGCTGGACACGTTTTCTATCTTGAAAACAGTCCACTAACTTGGTGTTCTTAAAAACAGGAAACTGTGGTGTTATCATCTTGTGAAGCTGATTTTGTGGCTGCAATTGAGGCAGCTAAGCAGGCAATTTAACTTCAAGATCTTTACGAGGAGATCACTGAACGATCATGTGAGAAAGTGGTGGTTCGTAAAGATATCAAATCAGCAATTTCTCTTACAGAGAATCATGTGTTCCTCAGATGAAGTAAACACATACATAGGCAGTATCACTTCATAAGAGAGTGCATTGAGAATGATTTTATAGAAGTACAACATGTTCCCGGGGAAAAACAAAGAGCCGACATTTTGACGAAATCACTTGGAAGAATCAAGTTTAAAAAAATGAAAAATCTTATTGGATTTCAAGATATGAAGAATAAAATATTCAAGTTTAAGGGAGAGAATATTGACTTTAACTTGAATCTAACTCGAAGATTGTCCTAAATAATATTAAATTAGTTTAGAATTATCTACTTGTGTGTTTTCTAATGAATTTATGAAATTATATTATTTATATAAGAAGATGCAAGTGTATTGCATATTTTATTAGTTATGAGTTTGTGAGAGTTTTAGTTTTGAATGATTTTTTAAGGTATTGAGTGATTAATAAGTAGAGTTTCTTATTTGGGTTTACATTCTTGTATGTGTGTGACTTGATATCGAGCTATACGAGTTCTATAGTTTAATCAAAAAGAAATACAGAAAGGAAATAACGGTTATATTATAAAGGAAACCTTTTTCTTGCGTTCGTCGTTGTTGGTGAGTGCGTGTTTGATGTGGTTTGTCCATCGACTCCATTTATCTTTTTGTTTACTTTTCTCTCAGTTTCAGTTTTTACGTTGTTTGTTTCCTTGTTACAGCTTTTCTTTTTATCGGTTAAAGCATATTTCCACCTTTTATGTCAAACATTAATCACCTAATTTTCAACAATTCGTCATCAATTTAACATTTCTCTTTAGTTAAGACATCAATTATTGTTATGCTAATCAGTTGACACGGTAGTTTAGCAGGAAAAGAAATACTAGTACTTGGGTTCAAAACCCTGTTAAAAATTAAAACTAATGGCAATTTTTAACCAGTCCATTTTAAAGCTCTTTTCTAAAAATACTTTTTGAACTTTTCAAAAACCACACTTTAGCTTTACAGCTGAGAATATATATATATATATATATATATATATATATATATATATATATATATATATATGAGTAATATCGGGAAAATCAGTGGGTTTTTTTTGTTTTTGAAAAATCAGTGATTTATGTCACAATAATTGCCATCTGTTAAGTGTGGTTTAAACTGTACACACGGTTCTTGTGTAACCAAATAAACAGTCACATCACTAATTTAGTTAGGTATATTAATCAATAATAGAGTTCCTATTGAAGATAATTAGTTGCGTACAAGTTCTGTTTTTATCAATATTTGTGGTTCCTATTCAGTTTACACTAGTAGTTAAGTCATCTCATAACCAAAACCATCAATTATTGTTACCAAATATAGGAGAGAAAACTGAATGAGGTTGCTTGCACCATAATATCACGCGGCGTCAACATAAAATTCTATTATATTTATCTTTTATATTTCAATTAATTAATGTATATATCGTCAGTTGTCACAACTCACAAACGTAAAATATTTGCTGCATGATTGCATCCTACACGCAATCCTCAACCCTCTTTTGGTATTTTTTCATTAGATATTCTTATCACAATATTCTCACGTCAACATATATATATTCCCTATATAAACAATTCTCTTTATACCTTACCATCCACAAACTCATTCTCAATTTCAGAAAACAAAGTAAAAACACCATTGAAGAAATATGAAGCGATTCATAGTCCTTGCCCTTTGTTTGCTTATGGTTCTTGAAACAACAATGGGTCTAGATTTCCATGACAAAGATGTGGAATCGGAGGATAGCTTGTGGGAGCTGTACGAGAGGTGGAGAAGCCACCACACGATAGCTCGGAGCTTTGAAGAGAAGGCGAAGAGGTTTAATGTGTTCAAGCACAACGTGAGACACATCCACGAGACCAACAAGAAGGAAAAACCTTACAAGCTCAAGCTCAATAGGTTTGGTGACATGACAACTGATGAATTTAGAAGGTCATATGCTGGTTCGAACATCAAACATTATAGGATGCTTAAAGGTGAAAGACGAGCAACAGGAAAATTCATGTATGCAAATGTTAATGCGCTCCCGACCTCGGTTGATTGGAGAAAGAATGGAGCTGTCACTCCTGTCAAAAACCAAGGCCAATGCGGTGAGTTATCTTTAATTTCTTGAAATGACGAAAGAAATATGTAAAATTAATGAAAACCAAAATGAGACTTACGTTTTTGGTTACTATACAGGAAGCTGTTGGGCGTTTTCAACAGTTGTGGCAGTGGAAGGTATCAACCAAATAAAAACGAAAGAGCTGACATCACTATCAGAGCAAGAGCTAGTGGACTGTGATACGAATGAGAACCAAGGGTGTAGTGGAGGTCTTATGGACCTTGCTTTTGAGTTCATCAAGGAGAAAGGAGGACTAACGAGCGAGCTAGTGTACCCTTACCAAGCTTCTGACGAAACATGTGACAAAAACAAGGTTTGTTACATACTACACGTCATCGAAGAATTAAGAAAGCTAAAATGGTGATGAAGTACAATAAATAACATACTGAACTGTTATAATAACGCAGGAAAATGCTCCGGTGGTTTCAATCGATGGACACGAAGATGTTCCTGAGAACAGTGAGGATGATCTAATGAAAGCTGTTGCTCATCAGCCTGTCTCTGTTGCCATTGATGCTGGAAGTTCAGACTTCCAGTTCTACTCCGAGGTAAGAATACAGAACACAATAATTTAAGTTACAAAAAAAACTACCTCCATCTTCTTACAATTTATAGTTTTAGATTAAAAAAATTGCACTTGTTAAAAAAGTCATTTAATTATTCCATTAATTAAGACAGTTACAGTTACAGGTTTTCTTATTATTAAATGAACTGAAATTTTGGTAAAGAAGGAACTCTGTTTCAAATATACACATATATTCAGTTTCAAAAAAAAGAATGCACATATATTATGGAACAAAAATTAAAAAACCCTACAAGGATATTTTGATGAAATATACTATTAGAGATTTTTTTTTTTTTTGACTGAGGCTTGCATGGTGGTCGTAGGGAGTGTTTACGGGGCGATGTGGAACAGAGCTAAACCATGGAGTTGCAGCAGTAGGTTATGGAACAACGATAGATGGAACAAAGTATTGGATCGTTAAGAACTCTTGGGGAGAGGAATGGGGAGAGAAAGGATACATACGGATGCAAAGAGGAATCCGTCATAAGGAAGGTCTATGTGGTATTGCTATGGAGGCTTCTTATCCTGTCAAGAACTCCAACACTAATCCTTCCGGACCTTACTCCGCCACGCTTAAGGATGAACTTTAAAGCTTTCTATATTAATATTTTACAAGAAAATAAGTATTGATTATGATTTGTTTATGATAGCTTGTTTCTTTTAGTATGATGATGTGGTTAATATATAAATGGAATCTCTTGAATTTATTGCTAATTTATAAACGGAAGCTATGTTATCTTATCTTGATTCTCTACATCACTGAGTATGCTAACTATCGTTCCCGTACATAGAATAATAGGAACTAGGATAAGATCCGCGCCTTGCGCGAAATGAAGCAAGCTATTATTTTTATTATGTTTTGAAAAATGAAACAATAGTTCGGTTTCATTCGGATTAGAGGTGTTCAATCCGGATATCAGGTTTCGGTTCGGCTCGATTTTTTGGTATTTCGATTATTAAAATATAACTACTATTCTAAATTTATATGTACTTCAGTTTGATTTAGTTTATATACCATCGGTTTTCAGTTTATTCAATTTTATACCAAAAACATGATTATTTAGTTTGAGATCATATTATATATTATACAAATATATAATATGATCATATTTAGAGTCATATTGTCACAGAGTCATTTATAAAAAAATATTATATATTTAAATAAAAGAATAAAAAATAAAAAAGGCTTCTATCATCTAATAAAATAATCAAATCTAGAATTAATATCAAAACACTAAATTTTAAAAATAAAAATAAAAAAAAAAACAAAACAGAAGCATGAAAGAAAAGTTTTTATATTCTTTCATATTTAGTGTTCATCAAACCAATATGTCTTCGATTGAACACAACTTTGTTTGTTTAAAGATAAAAAAAAGTTGTAAAGAATTTCAACTAATTGTTATCCATCAAATTTATAATCTTTACTTCAATTTAGTTACTGTTAAAAAAGAAAAAGATCAGAATAAGAAGTCTAAGTTGTAATAAATTGTTAGCTATTTACAAATTATAACTATAGTTCAACTCATGTAACAAATAGGTATTCATGCGTCGTTATAAATATATACATATTTACATGTTTCAGTTTAATCGGTTATAAATCAAACCATATCCAAATCCTATGGTTTTTATAAAATCACATCCATTCGGTTTGTATGGTATATACCAAAAATAACCAAAATAAGAAGTCTAAGTTGTAATAAATTGTTAGCTATTTACAAATTATAATTATAGTTCAACTCATATAACAAATAGATATTCATGTGTCGTTATAAAAATATACATATTTACATGATTCAGTTTAATCGGTTATAAATCAAACCATATCCAAATCCTATGGTTTTTATAAAATCATATCCATTCGGTTTGTATGGTATATACCAAAATAACCATATTATCGATTGTTAATATCTTTTAAAAATATAAAATTAAAAAAAAACTAAGATATTTAAATCATTGATAACAAAAAATTTTAATGTGAAAAATTTAATAATTTTATAATTTATAAATGTTCTTGAAAATTTATTGAGGATTTTGAAATTAAAATATTTATGTAATCTTATATGGTATATAGTTTAATCTGTATATATATTTGTTTTATTATTGAATTATACTTTTTACTTATATGGTTTTAAAATCATGTATATCTTTTTATAATAAAAATGTTAAACTATTGATCATTAATTTTTAACATAATAATTTTAACAGTTTAGTTATTTATTCTCGTTTTTTAAAATTCAAAATATAACCTATAGGAAAAAATCTAAAGTTTAATTTTATAGCTAATTTGATTGTTTAATTTATTTTAATAATATAAAATTAAAGAAAAATGATGGAGGATATATAAATTGTTATCAAATATTTATTATTAGAATCATTAAGTGTCATATATATATATTAGTCATTTATGGTAATTCCGTAGGTTTTATTTATGGAAAGAAAATAAAATAGTAATATATTTAGGGGAACAATCATAAATGCTTCTATCATAAATATCATATCATATAATTTGACCAACAAATGTATCTAGCGGAATATAAAAATCGAATGTGGACCTACTTATTTTTCAATTGAATGTAATTGACTACCTAATTGAGTGACACCTAAGTATGAGATATTTTTTAATTATTACAAAATTGAGGTTACAATTTTTTAAATGTTTCTCCTTTAATATATAAGGGATAAGACAAATGATTTTTTTGAAGAAAACCTCTTTCCAAAGGAATATACTCTCTTGGTTAACTATTCATGAGGATTCATCCTTGACTGACGAAATATAACACATAATCCAACAAATCAACGTGGATGAGAATCCCATTTCACCGTCACCACTCTGATACTGTCTCATTTCATCCGGTCATATACGCTGTGTTCGTATTTGGTTATATTGTCATCTTTTTGTTCCTTCCTCCGGCTTTTGTTCTAAGTGCATGAAACATCTTTTAGCAATCATAATACTATCTAAAATATGTCTTTCAACAACAAAGGCTAACTGAATTTCTAATATTTGGCATGAATTATTATTTTTTAATCTCTAACATAACATCTCATAGATTATCTTAAAACTGACATTACATAAGTTAATTGGTCCAAAATGTGAATTTCACTAAACATATCCTTTCTTGGGATTAGGCAAGCTTTTGAGCGATGGAGCCATCAAAAAAGAATTGTTTAATACGAGTTAAATCATCTTTCATTATAACCCAAAACTTTTGATAAAATAGAGTTACTGGTTCTGGAACTTTCTTCTGGGACATTGCAAAAACCATTAGCTTAAACTCCCATTCAGTAATAGGTAATGTCATATCTTTGTTAATCGACTATGTGATGGTCACCAATACATTGGCTAGTGCTTCATCAGGATTGGACGCTGTAAGGTTTTGACTGAAATAACTGGTAGCATTGGGTACCAGCCCTTCTACATCCTCAACCATGTTTCTCAAGGCATCCACTAAATGTGTGATTCCGTTTTTGGCTATCCTATGCTTCGTAAAAACGTGAAAAAAAAAGTTTATATCTCATAATCGTAACCAAAGAAATCTACTTTTTTGTCTCCAAAATATTTACTCAGTCTTAAGACCTTCGTATAGTTCTTTCAATGCCTTTGAATACAATTTTTTAACTTTCTCCTTGAGTGTCTTCACTTGCTTTTCGGAACTTATGTTATTTTCTTTCTTCTATTCACTCAAACCTTTTCGGAAATTGGAGATATGCTCCATAATATTGGCCTCAGTAGGTAGATCCGGTGAGTTCCATTCTTCAAATATAACATGTCTAATTTCCTTTCAGTCCAACCAACATTTATCAAACTTGAATTTTTATTTTTCTTGACTGGTCTGACCAGAATATTCAACAGGACCAGACAATGATCCAATCTCCACAAGTGTAAATGCTGAACAGATAAATGAAGAAATTTGTCGTACCGATTTTCATTTTCTACTGCTTAATATAAACGGTATCATAGTGTCAATCTTCCTCTCTTTCTGACCCATGGGAACATATTTCTAGTAGATGAAAATTTCATTATGCCGCAGTCAATCAACATCTATTTAAAAAGCAAGAACAAGTTTTCATGGTGATAATTATTTCTTGTAGTTGAAAAATGCGTAAAATATTCCTACACTTTATCTCTTCTCTCTAAAACAGGTTTTCCATAGACATACTTATAAAAAAAATTATCAACAATTGTCTTAGTGTTAATCATTCATTAAAACAATACATCAATTTAGAATCGTGTAAAAACCTTTTAAATTAATTTTTTTTTAAATATAAATTTAATGTGTGTCCAAACCAAAACGTAGCTTCTTCTTTTATGAATCATATTTTTAAGTTGTATTCTATTGTGTCAGATTGGTTGAAAACGATTGTGAAGGCTGGGACTATGATTAATCTGGACTCTTAGGGTGGGGTTTCTAGTTTCGGATAAGAATATGTTCTTAGCTTTTAACTAAGAAAGTTAAGAACCATCTCTTAAATAAGAGATATAAGAGCATATTTAATCCTAGCACCTCTAATGGGGTGCTTACTTTTAATTTTTTTTATTTTTGCTGATTAAAAAATTATAAAATGAACTAATCGTGGGCCGCCACATGTTAGTGGGACCCGCGAACAGTGCAAACACCGGTGCTTATATAAGCTTCAAGAGAGCTGGTGCTTAAAATTTTATGAGATCTACCTTGGGACTCACCCACAATTATATTAGTTTTTCATAAGCACCCCGCTCCTAAGGACAACATTATTGGTTAGACTTGTTATTGAGTTCTTAACATATTTTATTATTATTTTTTTAAATTTGTTAATTATTGGTAGGATTTATCTTGTCCCTTACATAATTAAAGTGATTGTTTCATTAATAAGTAATGACATATAAAAAAGATAAGTGTTAAATAAAACATATAAAAGAGAAGTTTAACATTAAAATTGAAAACATAAGAAATTTACAAAGTAAAAAAAAATTACAAACATCATAATAAATAAAAGCAAACAAAAATTTTATCCAATTCATAGAAATTTATAAATTATATGTTATTTGGAAGATGTCCAAATTTAGCCCATATATTATCAATTAAATCATTTTTTAAATGTTCATGGGCTTGTCTATTTCGAACGCTCGTTCGACGATCAATTGTATTGCCGAGATTTGAAGGCATATTGACAGAAAATGTATCCACCTCTTCTCTTTCTTGAAATTCATCAACGTCATACTGAGTAAATGATGATCGTTCATCTTCGACAATCATATTGGAGTATGATACATGGTCTCATAATATTTGCTAATTTGTCTTTATCCCATAAATGAGATGGGTTTCGAACAAAGGCAAATCTAGCTTGCAGGACTCCAAAGGCACGCTCGACATCTTTTCGCACAGCTTCTTGGGTTTTAGTAAATAATGAATTCTTCTGACCTTGTGGTAGTCGGATAGATTGAATAAAAGTCGCTCATTTCAGATATATATCATCCGTGAGATAACATGTCAAATGGTACGGATTATCATTAGCATAGAAGTTTACTTCTGGCGCTATATCGTTAATAATGTCATCGAAAATGGGTGATTGATCAAGAATATTAAGATCGTTCATAGTACCTGGAGCTCCAAAAAACACGTGCCATATCCAGAGGTCATATGAAGCTACCGTCTCTAAGACAATTGTTGGTTTATTGGTTCCTCGTGAATACATTTCTTTTCAAGCGGTGGGGAAATTCTTCCACTCCCAATGCATACAGTCGA